GATCCCAGGCGCCGGCGAGAAACAATGGGCAGAGTTTCTTTCACCCTATGCCCCTGTTACCTAGCAGTAAAATAGGTACCTGGGTGTTAGTCAGCTGTCACGGGCTGCTTCCTGGGGGTGGAGGCCTGGTCGAGGACCGGGCCGCGGGGACACTAAAAAAAAGCCCCGAAATCATCTCAAGATAACCTCAAGATAACCTCTCAAGATAACCCGTATGGCCGAATTTGGACGTAATTTGAAAATGAAAAAATGAAAATAAATTTGGGATTATTTTTTTCAACAACAGTAAGTTAAGGGTCCTCTGATAGGTTAGGTGGGCAGGAAATTTTCATAAAGTTTCAAAACGTTATGAAAAATGTTATTTTAAAGTGTACCTCATAAGCTCTGCGCGTACGCCGGACGACTCAAATAGAAAACGGAACAGAACGTCACTTTTGTGAGTCGATTTCATTTCAAATTACGTCCAAATTTGGCCATAGCGCGCATACCAGCGAAAAGTGACGTTATTTTTAAGAGGATGGGTTGCACCATCATCTGTTTCTGAGGGAGTTTGAACTTTACCTTGATAGTTTACCCACTGGGTCAGGTTTGGTTGTGGCGGTTCCTTCGGGGCTGTCCCTTCTGCTGCACTCGCGATCGCTTGGTTCATCCCCCGGGGATCTTATGTTGGCTGCTGTGTCCCCGGCTTCCTTTTGTGCTTTTCAGGGATTCAGTGCCTTGGCGCCCTCTAAAGCTCTACCTTGATGTGTTTACAGATGCCTCGTCTCTCACCTGGGGGTTTTGTGACTCTGTGCAGTGGGCTCCGTTCTTCTGTCAAGCTCACGGTTATCTTGAGTTGATTTCGGGGCTTAGTGTCCCCGTGGCCCAGTCCTCGACCAGATCTCCACTCCCAGGAAGCAGCCCGTGACAGCTGACTAATTCCCAGGTACCTATTTACTGCTAGGTAACAGGGGCATCAGGGTGAAAGAAACTCTGCCCATTGTTTCTCGCCGGCGCCCGGGACCGAACCCAGGACCACAGGATCACACGTCCAGTGTTCTGTCTGCTCAGCCACCGGCCACCGGCTCCCTTTCGGTACGGTGCGAGAATTTGCGGCAATGTGGCTTGCGCTGCATCGGATTCAGCTCACTCGGGGCTCTACGATCTGGTTCCATTCAGACTGCGCTCCGGTGGTTCATTGCCTGAACTGTGGGGGGGGTCTGCGGTCTGTGGCTATTTGGGGCTGGTTGCTTTGAGTGGCTCTTCTGCTGAGTTCTCGTGGTTTAGCTCTCCGTGCAGTTCATATCTGGGGGTGTGTCCATTGTCCTGGTGGACAGCCCGTCGCTGTTCATTCCCCTGTCTATGGAATGGATGGTCGACACCGACTTCTTCAGTTGACTCTGCCGAACATTCAAGCCCCCGGAGGTGAATCTCTTCGCATCAACCTGGTCGAGGCATCTCCCCATTTATGTGGTGCTCTTCCTCAACTGCAAGGCCTTTGCGGTAGATGCATTTCTTCACCAGGTCTAGTCGAAGTGGGATTATCTGTACCTCTTTTCCCGGTTCAGCTGTTGCTTCAGGTTCTGGATCAGCTCGAGTTCTATCAGGGAAAACTTCTCCTTCTGGGTCCATGGTGGCCGGCCCAGCCTTGGTTTCAGATGCTGCTTGTTTGGTGTCTGAACCTGGTGCGTTCTCCGCGGCTCCGCCTCTTTTAGCAGATTGGGCCAGTGAAGTACTTTGCTGGTTCGCTCAACTCCTCCACGCTTCGTGTCTGAAATTTCTGACACGGGTGTATCACCATCTGTAAGGTGACCAGGTGGCTTCTCTCATGGTGTCCTACTTGTGGTCTTCTTCTCGGAGACAGTACGAAGTCCCTTGGCTGTCTTTTCGCCATTTCCTTTCTCTGCGTAGGTTGTCTATGGTCTCAGATTGGATTGTTTTCTTTCTTTCTTTCTTTGCTCTTTCAGGACAGGTATCTTATGCCGAATACTGTTGCCTCATATCATGAGGCGCTGGTGGAGCTGCACCAGCTGCTTTCGAGGTGGATGTCACTTCGGATGTCCATTTTGCAAACTTTCTCGTGCTTGTTTCCACCTCACCGACCTGCTCATGCCCCGCCTGAGCTGACCTGGTCTTTGGACCGGGTGCTCTCCTTCCTTTCTTTCCCTTAGTTTATGGTGGCCCCCTTTGGTCCAAGATTGTTTCCAAAAAGCTTTGTTCTTGTTTGCTTTGGCTTCTGGGGTCAGTTAGGAGAGCTTCATGCTCTTCTCTGACATAGGGGCTTTTGCTCTTTTGGTCCGAGTGGACGTTTTGTTCGTTTGCAACCTTCTCCATCTTTTCTGGCGAATAATGAAACAGCAGGCTTCCAGAGGGGCCCCGTGGGTTATTGATGCTTAGTTGGTCAGGCAGGGGGGTGTATCATGTTTTGTGTCCAGTTCTAGCTTTATGGCGTTACCTGCATACCTCGGCTTCTGTGTCCGAGGTCGTGCTTTGGGTTGATCCGGTTTTTCTTGTTCCCTGTTCCAGGGCTCGGGTCTGTCAGGTTGTCCATAGGGTTATCAAGTCTAGCCAGCCTGCGGTCTACCCTCGCGCCCATGATGTTCATAAGTTTGCAGCTTTGGTTGCAGTGTTTGGCAATATACCTTGGGCGGGTATTTGGGCACGAGGGTTTTGGAGATCGAAGAGGGGTCCTGGCTGCTCATTATCTCATTAATGTGCCGGGCCCTCAGCGGTCTTGTGTCACCCTGGGTTGGCGGTTACAGCCAGTTCTCTAGTCCTCGTGATGGGTTTTGCGCTTCAGCCACCTCCTTGGTAAGTCCCTTTGTTGTTTCTCTTTGGGTAGTTAGCTCCAGAGGGCTGACAGGGCTTCCCCATAGAAAACCAGCATTGAATGTATTGAAACACCATTTTATGGGTAGAGCCCCGGAGGCTCCCTGGCACCTTCCCTTCCCTCGGTCGGCGGGTTTTAGTTCAATTTTTCAGCCTCCAAACTGACTGACCAGCTGCCAGCTCGGTGGAAACCCTCTTCCCTTCCTGGGGGTGGGTGGGGGGGTGGGGGATTGGCACAAACAAGTGGCACGCGGTGTGATGACGTGTTACTTGTTAGCTTGTTTTTCCTTGAGGGAGTTTCTTGCCTCTGTTTGGTCTTAGGTATTTATTTCTGTTTTGAAGCACCTACCTTTCTGGGTGCTCAACCCTGGTCGATGGCAGACATGAATTCTTATATACATGAGAGTTTTATAGGCCAATGCTCCCTTCGCCTCTCTAGAGGGGACCATGTTCTGGCTAATGGTTCCCTGGTAGGCATGACAACTCCATAAGACTTAAGCCCAGTGCTAATATTAGGTAATATCGGTACAATAACTCCAGGGAGCCTCTGGGGCCCTACCCAGAAAATGGCTTTTCATTACACTCAACACTGGCTTTTTTTTTTTTTGTTACAGGTACCATATTTCTCAGGTTGTCTACTGTGTCAATAAACCTGACCAGCCTGTAGTCTGCCCTTGCACCAATGATGTTTGATATATGCACCTCTTTTGGCTGTCTTTGCAAATATGTCCTGGGTTGATATTCGGACACTGGGGGGTTTTAGCGGTCTAAAAGTTTAGCGGTTTTAGCGCTATGTCATGGGTTCGTATCCTGGCCGGGGAGGATTTACTGGGCGCAATTCCTTAACTGTAGCCTCTGTTTAACGCAACAGTAAAATGTGTACTTGGATGAAAAAACGATTCTTCGCGGCAGGGGATCGTATTCCAGGGACCATAGGATTAAGGACTTGCCCGAAACGCTACGCGTACTAGTGGCTGTACAAGAATGTAACAACTCTTGTATATATCTAAAAAAAAAAAAAAAAAAAAAAAAAAAAAGGGCTCTGGTGGTTCGATATCTTGTCAGTGTGTACAGTCCCCAGCTCCCTTGTGCGGCTTTGGGATAACATGTTGCAATCACGAGTCTACATCTACTGTACATAGAACTGAAGGTGTAGCAGGCGGCTAACATCGGGCTGCCTTCCTCCTCACCCCAAATGAATGGGGGAAGTGGAGCCAATGAGCTGGCGCTAGTTATTTAAATTGTTGATTATTTGCAGGCGATGAGTCACAATAACGTGGCTGAAGTATGTTGACCAGACCACACACTAGAAATTGAAGGGACGACGACGTTTCGGTCCGTCCTGGACCATTCTCAAGTCGATTGTTGATTATTTGTTTTCATATTTTGGAGAGTTGTTTTGGTGGTTTTTAATACTGTAGTCTCATTTGAAGCCAGCAGTGGTCAGTTTTGTTTTGCTGACTTTTTGGGTGTCTTTCCCATGTGGGCGGCAGACATGCATAAATCATTAACATTTGCCCGAAACGCTTTGCGTAATAGTGGCTTTAGGCATTGTATGTACTAGCTCTTATCTATAAAGCCAACAAACTTTGTAAAATCTCTTTATGTATGTACCTTTGCCTAAATAAAAATTATTATTATTATTATTATAAAATTTTGTATTGTAAATGCCACTGCTTCCTGTGTCTCTGTTTCACAGGTTCAGTTTCTGGCTCTGGTCCCCATTAGGTATATAAAACTCCATAACTGATTAACCACTGCACTGCGCAAAGCGCCTTTAGGCGCTCAGAGAGTTGTGCTTTTTGTTTTTTAATTTGGCTATATTTTAATGTTTTTTAATGTTTTCATTACTATTTGTGTTTTGAAATGGAAATAGTTGACTTTGGAAACATTTTGACATTAAATTTACCTGAACATTTGTAAAAATAACAAAAATATGTCCTTGACAATTGCACCAAGACGTTTTTGCCGAAAATAGGTGAGCAGTGCAAGGGTTAAACCTAGTAATATGACACAATATCAGAGATAGTAGCTTCAGGGAGCCACTGGGGTCCATCCTGGCATTTCATTACATTTAACATTGGTTTTATATTCCTTCAGCCAGATTTTTTAGGTGTATGTCTTGTATTTTGATACTTTGTATGTGATATATATTCTAATAGAGTATATTATTTATACCAATATTTTCTCAGGTGACAGCATTGGTGGTGTCTTAGCATATGATGTTCTCTGCCGTGCCTACGAACAGCATAAATTTGGAAGCAATAGCAACATCCCTGAGGGAGAACCGCCTTCCCCGGGTCAGTACTTCAAGCAGAAGTCTTCTCCAGGACAACCTCAATCTTCATCCCTTTCCCCAACCTCTCCACCTTCACTATCCCCAGACCAGCCCATGAGTTCCTCACCCTTGACCTCCCCATCCCCAACAATCACTGTAAGTTTTGAAAATGCTTTAGCAAATCCCTCAGGCGACGTATTCAGTCCATCTGGCGACGGAAAGTTTCCACTTTCCCCCCACAACCCTCTTGCTTCTACATCGTTTTGTAAATTTCCATCTTCTCAGTCCTCCATTAATCACCATACTCCTGTTCGCAAGGTATCTTCACCTCTTCCCAAGCCAACACATATAAATCAAGTTAGTAGAAAGTGCTCAGTACCTTGCAGCATCTCTGGCAGTGGTGTTGGTGGATGGGGGAGTCGGCCAGCTGGAGGAGGATGTTGTAGCACGTCCACACCATCGCCACCGGGGGCTTCCTCCACCTACCCATCTACTTATTATCAGTCCCACCATCCCCACCACTACCACAACCCTCTTCACTACTCCTATCATCATGGTGTTAATAATGCCCATGATACCCTCACCCCTGGGCCACTGTGTGAAAAAAAAGGCAAGTGTGATTTATACCATCTTTTACTGCTTAGCATCCTGATGAGCACGCACTTGAATTTGCGAAATTTGATGATGGGTAATCACGCCTTTTTTATACTTGGCAGTCCAGTTTTGCATTGTGTAATACAAGGCTAAATCAGATTCACAAAAGATAAATGAGTTACTTCATTTAAACGCATCATATAGATGACATCAATTTAGGGCTTTTCCAACATAATCACTCATGACTTTAATAACTGACATGAGATGAAACTGTGATGGGGTAAGAAAGAAACAACCTGGGTTTACTCAGCTGTGGGTTTTGTGCAGAGTTTCTGGAGATTGTACATGTATTACCTGAAAACCATTAAGTAAATAAAAGTGGGTTGTCATTCATCCATAGATGGGTACCTGATGTGCTTTAATATAGTGTAGTTTGGTATATAAATCACCTTTTTGCTCCTTAGTGTGGTTGGTGGAGAACAGTCACCTGTAAATGGTTAAGAAATAGAACATTTTAAATTAAATGAGGGGAAAGTTTACATTTCATCTATAATTATAAATTTCTTGGTCATTGTAGTTTAATCCCTTTTTAGTTATGAACTTGTGTATATAATTTACCCCTTTAAACTGCATCTTGACCTGATAAAACCAAAATATATTTCTAAATAATTTCTACAACTTGCCATTTTCTTAGCAAGATAATACATGTAATCTTCCTTATGTAAATTCAGCTGGTCTTTATATTAGCGCATCTTTTATTCTTTCAAAGATCCATTGTATCACAAGTTGTTGATACTTATGCCACTGTTTTTGTGGTAAACTAAAAAACTCCATTATTAATAAGTATATGAAAATACAAAACAAATTGAACACATTTGAAGCATAGATTGTCATAATGGAGCATCCTACCTGACAAACACTGAACAATCCTTTATGACATTTGTCCTTTTTCTGGGTGAGCCCCGGAGGCTCCCTGGAGCTTATCGGGCTAATGTATATTATGTTAGACCGGGACATTAGCTATGGAGTTCAGACCTACCAGGGACCAGCGCCAGAACCTGGCCCCTTCAGAAAGGTTTCAGGGAGCAATGGCCCTGGAAAACCCCATATGGTTGGGGGTTTTCCTTATCTGCCATCGACCGGGGTTAGGCACCCAGAAAGGTTGGCGTAACAAAACAAACCCCACATGGTAAGAAACTACAACAAAAAACCGAACAGAGGTAGAAAACTCCCTACAATCCCAAGGAAACAATCAAACAATCAATTTACTGCCGCGCCGCTCATCCGCGCAGCCCCCCTCCCCGGGAGGGGGAGGGGGGGCCCCGGACCTCACCACGTCGGCTGCCTTCAGTTCGCTAGCTTATTTATTTATTTATTTATTTATTTATTTATTTATATATATACAAGAAGGTACATTGGGTTTGTGAGAATACATTGGATAGTACAGTATTTACATTCTTGTAAAGCCACTAGTACGCACAGCGTTTCGGGCAGGTCCTTAATCTAGCAGATAATTTTAAGTAGGTAATTTCAATCAGAATTGATAAATGAGAAAGATACATTACAAGCTAGTGTCAATCGGGATAGCCGCTTCTCTGGCCTCAAATTCCTTGGCGGTGTTTGCCTCGTGTGGCGTTCTCTGCTGTTTTTGTGTGGTGTGCGGTAGCCAGGAGTACTTCATCAGTGCCGGGGCTGCATGTGCTTAGGGGCTTCCTTCCCTAGCCGCCCTGTGTGTCAGGGTTATCTTTTCTGGGGCGTTCAGGAACTGCTCCCGTAAAGGTTCTTGCTGCTCGGCATTTGCCTCGCCCTTGGGACCTGCTGGGGCTTGGGGCCTTTGTTTGGCCTTGGGTAGGGAGTGGTATTGTTCTGGTTAGGGCGTCAAGGTGTTGTGCGGCCTGCCACCTAAGCGGCGATCGGTTCCTGTTGCCTCTGGGGACGGTGTACTTTTGCGGGGGTTTTCTTTTGTTTTTTTTTGTTTACCTGGTGGAGGTTCTGCCTCGTGGGTCTATAGTTCCCCTGGTATTGTTTTGGTGGCCCTCTGCTAGGCCCCCGTGCTTGTACGCGTCCCAGGGGTTTTCAGTATTATCATTTACCCCTTGTTTTGTTTGGGTTTCTTAACCGGTTAGCAACACTTGCCCGGGCTTCCCGTAGTTGCTAACCTACGGACCCTGGAAACCCCTGTTGGGGCTCGGGGACCCATGGATGCGCCTCCCGTGTTCCAGCCTGCCTTGTGCGGGTTTGAAGGTTGCAGTGTGCCCTTGTCTCAGGGTGACAGTCACCTGTTTTGCCTCCGTCATGCTGCCTGTTGGGTCAATGACACCTTTAACCCGGAGTCTTGCGAGTCGTGTTCTCTGCTTGTGCTCCAGTTTTACTCTGAGAATGTTCCTGTTAGGGTACAGGCAGCATCAGCGTTGCATGTCAGGTTTAGGTTATTGCAACGCGCTAGGTTGGTTTCCCACCCGGATGCCCCAAGGCTTCCCGTTTTGGTTTTAGGGACCCTGACCTGGAGGCGTTGGTCGCTATGGCTTTGGCTCCAGCCGCGCCCCCGGTCCTTTCCCTGTGGTTATTCCTGCCCCTCCCCCCCCTGTGTCTGGCTCCAAAACGTCTGAGGGTTTTGGCCTCGGCACAGGGTTTAGTTGGTAACGAGACTCGGGCTGCCTCGGAGGCTGCCCCATCCGGGTCGAGGACGGAGGCATTTGAGCCGGTTCCTCCTGCTGAGGCTTCTGGGTCCCACCAGCAGACCCCCTTCTTGTCTGCCTTTCCCTTGGGCTCTGCCTTTTCTTCAGGGGGTAGAGGGTTTAAAGGACGACTCTGCCCCGGGTCCTGACATGGGGGATCCTGGGGCTGGGGAGGAGTCGACCTGGGGGCCTTGGGCCCACTGTGACCCCGCTTGGGTGCTTTTGCCTTCCTTGCAGGGCTTATTGTTGCAGGGGGAGGGGTTTTCTTACCCCCCTTCCCTGTATGAGTATGATTTGGGTTCGACTCCTCCCCCGGGTTCGGTTCCGGGCGCCTTTGGGTACCTCAGATCCGTCTTTCCAGAGGTTTTCTACTTCCCCTATCTTCATGAAGGTGGCTCGGGAAGCTCTTGTTCCATACCTCTTGCGAGACCCGGGTTATGCCTCCCCAATGGATCCGTCCTCGTTTGAGTTCGGTTCCTCTTCCCATTTTTGGGTGTGTTTGGAGGTTCCGGAGTCTTCCTGGCTGGCAGACTGCCCTTTCTTTTCATTGGGGGCGTGGCATGGGTTCTGTCGGACCCGCACGCTTGATTGGCGGGAAACTGCTACTTTTATGCAGGTTTACCTGGGGGGCGAGTTTGAGCACCTTAATGCGTGCTTGTTCGCTCCTGTTCTTTCTCGGGATGTTGGCCTTTTCCAGCTTCACGTGCAGGTTCCTCAGCTTTCGGCTTCGTTGGTTGCGGAGGAGTTGCGCTCCCGTGGGCATTTGGCCTCGGTCTTGCGTTTCTTTTCACTTCTCGAGCTATCTTCTGCTTGGCTTGAGGACGATATAGGAGCGTTGAGTGAAGGGCCTTCGTCCAGGGTGCTGTCTTCGGCAGCTAGGGCATCGGCTGCACTGTTAAAGCTCTTTGCGCCAATCTTGAAGGAAGCGGTGTCTGTGTCTCTGTTTTTGCTTCTCGCCTCGCGTGCAGTCAGGCTGTGCTCGCCCTCTCTTTTGAATCCGCTTGGGCCCTGGCTCTTAGGTTTTCGTCTCCGTTTTGTCCGTTGCTGTTTGCAGAGTCTGCAGTGTCCCAGTTTCTGCATGCGGCTTCGTCTAGTTGTCGTCCTATGGCGGACTTGTTGATTCCCCGAAGCCGTCGTTCTCGGCCATTTCGGAGGGGTCGTGCCAGGGTTCCGGGTTCCGCTGGTCGAGGTGGGCCATTGGTGCCAGTTTCTGAGCCGTTGTTCCCTTCGGGGCCAGCGTTGTTTGGTCGGCGCAGTGATCGCCCTGTTCGACGGTTGGGTTCTCGTAAGGGGCGTCGGCCATTTCGCGGTTTGCCCCGTTGACGGGGCGATGGAGGGGAGGCATGCTCTGTTTGCCCACGCTTGGTCCCACGATTTGTGGGCCTTTTCGGTCGTGTCATCCAGCCTGCGGTGGCGTTGGGCGACTCGTCCTCCTTTGGGGGGTTCGGGGCTATCAGGACAGGTTTCTTCTCCTGCGCTTCGTCAAGTCATCTTGGAGTGGGTGCGCTTTGGCGTGGTCAAAACGACTACGTCCCTCAGGTGAGTTTCCCGTCTGTTTCCAGTGCCGAAACGGGACTGTGCGGATCTGAGGTTCATTCTGGACTTGTCCTGTCTGCACCCCTGGATTTCTTGCCCCTCCTTTCGGATGACTACTCTGTCTCAGGTCCGGCCTCCGTTGGAGCCGGGGGCCTGGATGATGTCCCTGGACCTCAAGGACGCTTATTGGCACGTTCCTATTCATCCGTGGTTC